ACTGGCTGTCCGCGTCCCTGCGGGCAAGCGGCCTCGACGGAAGCCGCGACTCACGGCCCGCAGCCCGGGGCGAACGAACCCCTCTGCCCTCTCCCCACCCAGCCGGGCGCCCATCCCAGCGGCTTCTCCTCCCTCCCTCCCTCGGGCAGGTACCGGAGCTTCGTGCGCCCCCGCTACAAAGTGGCCTACAAGACGGTGTCCGACATGGAGTGGCGCTGCTGTCCCGGCTATTCGGGCGACGACTGTGCGGAAGCGGGGGTGTCGCTGACCACCCCCCGGCCCCCCCGGCCGCAGCCCGCCCGGCCCAACCTCTCCGGCTTCAGCAACCCGCTCAGCGGCCTTGGCGGAGAAGGTACCTGCCGGCGGAAGGCATGGCATGAGACGCGCCTGGTCGGGCCACGTCCCGCGAGGAGGAAAGCGCCCTCGACCTGCGGCTGCCCAGCCACCCCCGGGGCGCCCGGCCTGGTGAAGACGAGCCCAGGCGGGGCCCGGCGGTTGGGGCGGTTTTGAGGCCTGGGAGCGCCTGGGGACTTCTCGGGGTGCAGGAGGGGAGCGATCGTGGCTTTCCTTGCCCCCCAACCTTGGTTCGTCCTCAGACATCCGCTGCAGGGCACGGGAGACGGCAGGCAGGCCTTTGCCCGAGGCTGAGGTGGGGCCGCTGCCCTGTTGCCCTCCTGGGCTGGCTCTGGGCACCAGGAAAACAAGGCCCTGCGGCAGAAGCTGGCCACCGTCGGCGCCCCCCCCCCTTTCTCCTCTCCTCTCCTCTGCCAACGCCGCCGCCTCTTTCCTCCCCTCTCCGCTCAGGGCCCAGGGACTCGGAGAAAGTGCGCCAGCTGGAGGAGAAGGTGCAGAGCCTGGGGAAGCAGCTGCAGGACCTGCAGTCCACCCTGCAAGCCAGCAACACCAAGCTGGTGGAGGACGTGCGCCGGGCGGTGGAGGCCTCCCTGAACGGCAAGCAGCCGGCCGACGCCGCGGCCCACCCAGAGATGAAGGAAACCCTCAACGAGATCCAGCTCCACCTGCAGCGCCTCGACAACCGCATCTCCAGCCACGAGAACGGCCACGGCCCAGGGACCCACGGGTCGGAGGACCGGGGCGAAGGCCTGCGGGAGCTCGAGCAGCGCCTGCAGGCGTCCTGCGCCTCCTGCCTGAGCGGGGTGGAGGCCCTGCGGAGGCAGCAGGGAGAGGACCGGGAGCGCCTGCAGGCCCTGGAGAAGAGGGTCTCCTCCATGGACCAGCAGCACCGGGAAGCCATGGACACGATCCGGCAGCACGTGAGCCACCTGGCCAGGCCCCAGCCGTCCAAAGACTGCTGCCCCCTGCTGGAAGGTCGGGTGACTGGGCTGGAAGGGCGCATGGATGCGCTCTCAGACGCCTTGGTGGCTCTGAACGAGCCCTTGGCCCCGCGGCTGCCGGCCACGCCTCCCTGGAGCGTGGACCGGCGCATGTCGGAGATGGAGAGCCGGGTCAACACCACTCAGCGTGGCCTGGAAGAGCACTTCGTGGACCTGCAGGTGATGCTTGACGGGGTGGACGAGCGCCTCCGGCGGGCTGAGGGGCAACTGGATTCCGTCTTGTCCCGCCTGAATGAGTTCCAGAGCCACGTCCACCGGGCTGTGGCCAACCTGTCCCGGGATGTGGGGGGCCTGAAGGACAGCAGCCTGCAGCAGCAGGGGGCCCTGGAGCGCATGCGGGGGGCGGTGCACACCTGCACCCAAGTCTGCACCCCACCAGGCAACCAGGACTCCCAGATCAGCACCATCCTGAGTGACCTCGAGCGGCGCGTCCTGGACAACGAGGGGCAGCTGCGGCTGCTCGGCTCCAACCTTCACCAGCTGGACGTCTCCAGCAAGCTGCGCAGCCTGCATGGCCTGGTGGGGGCCAACCGGGAAGCCCTGGGGAAGCTATCCGGAGAAGTGGGCGAGCTGGAGAGCCGGCTCATGGTCTCCATGAGCGCTGGGCCCCCGGAGCTGGCCAGGTATTCGAACCACACCAACCGGCGCTTGGAGAAGCTGGAGCGGGAGGTGCAAGGGCTGGCGGCCCACCCTTGCCAGCCGGCCTGTTCGGATCTCCGGAGCGAAGTGGGGCAGCTGCGGGCACAGGTGGAGAACTGCCAGGCTCTCTGCCAGCCCGTCGGGAGGAGGCCAGACGACCTGGGCCTCCAGCCGGGCCTCGATGCCTCCAAGCCCCTGGATGGCTTCAGCGTGATCGGCGGCAGCTCCAGCCTCCACCTCCAGACGTTGCAGGGGGAGCTGTCAGAGGTGATCCTGGGCTTCAGCTCGCTCAACGAGACCCTGGCTGGGCTGCAGGCCACGGTGGAGAAGCACCAGACGGACCTCCACGAGCTAGGGACCACCAAGGACCGCATCATTGCCGAGATCAACCGGGTGCAGCAGGAGGTGACCGACCACGTGGGCGAGAGCGAGGAGCGCTTCCAGGTCCTGGGCCGCGAGATCCACCACTTTGGCGGCACCCTCCGGGTAGAGGCCTCGGATTGCCGGCGGGCCTCTGGGGGGCTGGCGGAGCGGCTGGCCAAGCTGGAGGGCACCTGCGAGCGGCTGGACCAGGTGTCCGGCAGCCTGCGCAAGATCAAGGAGGGGCTGGACAAGCACGTCTCCGCCCTCTGGGGCTGCGTCCGTGAAGTGAACGGGACCCTGCGCACTCATGAGGCCCTGCTGGAGAAGATCCATGGCAACCAGTTGGTCACGATCCACCGCCGCCTCAGCGCCCTCAACGGGTCCCTCCAGACGCTGCAAGGCAACCTGCGGGACTTCACCCTGCAGGATTTCACAGGTAGCGGGGGAGGAAGGGAAGGGGAAATGTTGCCAGGGGAGGCTGACCCGACTTGGGGCTGCCTGGAGGTGGACTCTCTCTGCTTCTGGGCACGCTGGCTAATGGCTCTGATCGAATGCCTCCTTCTCAGGACCTCAGGGGCCCCCAGGACCGGTGGGCCCTATGGGGAGACAGGGCCCCCCAGGCCCGATGGGATCTCCTGGCAAGGACGGAAGGACCGGTGCTGCGGGACCGCCAGGTGAGGAGCTGCCGGGACTGGTTGTTTGGCTTGCAGGGCCCCGAGGTTTTGCACTTCTTCAGGGCCCCCACCCTCCTCCAGCTCTCTAGCCTCAAAGGTGGTCGGAGAGCTTTCAGGGGGCTCCCCCTAGAGTGGCTTTGCAGCATCCAGAGGCCCAAACCCCTGGACTCAGAAGAAAGGTGCCACCACCTCTGCCCGCCCCACCCTCCTCCTCAGCCTGGGAGTGCCAACCCTGAAACTGCTTCCAAGAGCTGGGTTTCAGAAAGTAAGGTGGAGGGCAGTGACACCCACTGAGCGGGCAGACATTGGCTCAGATGCCCAGGATTTCCCTTTTGCCAATTGCTGACACTCCCCCCCCCAAGTGCTACACTAACCACATCCAGGGTGTGTGTGTGTGTGTGCCAAACGGCCCATAGAGGAGCATCCAGCCTTGTCTTCCTTGAGGCTTGGCCCACGGTGAAAACTCCAGCCTCTTTGTAAATCGCCAGGGATAAGGTGGCCCCTGCGTGGAGTGGGTAAGAGGACGGTGCTCCCATAGGAGGGACCACCACCACCACCACCACCACCACCAACCCCCCTCTCACCAGATGCCCTTTTTGTGCCAAACGGCCCATAGAGGAGCATCCAGCCTTGTCTTCCTTGAGGCTTGGCCCACGGTGAAAACTCCAGCCTCTTTGTAAATCGCCAGGGATAAGGTGGCCCCTGCGTGGAGTGGGTAAGAGGACGGTGCTCCCATAGGAGGGACCACCACCACCACCACCACCACCACCAACCCCCCTCTCACCAGATGCCCTTTTCTCGGGCAGGTCTCCCTGGAGAACAAGGTAATCCTCACCCAGCATTTCTGCCGCAGCCTCTCTGGGGGCACCAGAGTGGGAGGGGAGGGTGGGGACCCCTGGGGGGTTTTGCCTTGACCTTTGCCTCAGGAGACCCCCTTGCTCCAGCTGGCTCAGCCATGCCGGGGCTTCTCTCATGCACCCTCTCGAGCCGGGGGTGGGAAAGGACCTCCTTCTGGGAAAGGAAGCGCCGGCCTTCGCCGATTCCGGCATTCAGAAGCTATCCAGTACAGGTTGGCCGTTCCATTGATTGTGAGGGGAATCCCTTTGGGGAACCTGACGGTGTTTCTGTGTGTGAAACTCCAGTCAGGTGGGGGATTGGGGGCAAAAAAGGCAGATGCCATTGCAGGGCTGAAGGAACAAAGCGGGGGGGGGGGCTGTGCATGTGTGTGTCATTCGGTGGGATTTTGGGGGGGTTTCACCTGCCCTCTAAGGGACGTGGTGGCGCTGTGGGCTAAACCGCAGAAGCCTGTGCTGCTGGGTCGGAAGACCAAGCAGTCGTAAGATCAAATCCACACGGCGGAGTGAGCTCCCGCCATTTGTCCCAGCTCCCGCCAACCTAGCGGTTCGAAAGCATGCAAATGCGAGTAGATAAATAGGGGCCACTTCGGTGGGAAGGTAATGGTGTTCCGTGTCTAAGTCGCACTGGCCATGTGACCACGGAAGATTGTCTTTGGACAAAACGCTGGCTCTGTGGCTTGGAAACGGGGAACCTTTACCTTTACCTTTTTTTACACCTGCCCTCTCCTCTTGCAGGGCTGCCGGGTCCAGCTGGAACCGCCCCCAAAGTCTCCTTCACGGCCTCACTGACCTCCTGGCAGGGGGAGACGGGGACCATCGCTTTCGACAGGGTGCTAGTGAACGACGGCGACGCCTACGACCCGGACTCAGGTAAGTCAAGAGGGGGAGACAGAGTCCTCTGGGAATGCCCGCCGCAGGATTAGATCACAGGTCTCCCTGATGCCCAGGGGGGAGGCGAGAGCTGAGTTCTGCTCCCTCTCTCCCATCTGGCCTTGGGCACTGACACCGCAGAGGGAGCCTGCATGCCCCCCCCCAGATCCACCCCCTTGCACCCTGGGCAATTACCTCCCTCTCCTACAGGTATATTCACCGCTCCCATTTCTGGCCGCTACCTGGTCAGCGCCATCCTGACCGGGCACCGGGGGGAGAAGATTGAGGCGGTGCTGTCCCTCTCCAACCTGGCCATCGCCCGCAGCGACTCTGCCGGCTACCAGCCCGAAGGTCTGGAGAACAAGCCGGTGGCCGAGAGCCAGCCCAGTGCTGGGGCCTTGGCCGTCTTCACACTGGTCGTCCCCATGGAGGCCGGGGAGCCCCTCTGTGTGGACCTGGTCTCTGGCCAGCTGGCCCATGCGCCGGACGAGCCCCTGACGGTCTTCAGCGCCGCCCTGCTGTACGAGGACGAGGAGCTGGGTCTCTAGACCGCTCCAAGAAGGGCAGGAAGGAGCAGCCCCCCCTCGGCCCCCCCCCCTAACCTGTCAAGGGAGTGAGGATCCCCCCCCCCGCCTCCCTCCCTTTCCATCCTGGTGGGGCCCTAAGGTTTAGGTCAGGAGCTCTGCTCCTTGGGACCCTGCCGGGAGTGGGTGGGTAGGTGGGGGTTTTTCCAGTGCCCGCAGATCCTGCAATCCTTGATGGCAAAGCGGCTCCCCTCGGCGTCAGCCACAGGGCGTGGGGCACGCAAGGACTCTGCCCAGCTCTGCACATCGCAGCCAGCTAAGGAAGCCCCACATCCTCTGCCCCATCTACCCAATGGGTCTGGCCTGCACCCAGGGCTACTGCCGACTCAAACAGGCCAAGAGAGTCTATTAAAGGGCGGCGGGGGGGGGGTTGCAGAGAGAGAGAGGAGTCCCTTTTTGTTATTTATCTGTGTCTGTCATAACCCAGAGAAACTACCGCCTGCCTGACCGCCCACCCGCCCTCCGGCCAGCCCAGCCACCTTGCAGTCCCAGCAGCCAACTGCCTGCCTTGCTCACGCTTTCTCACAGCCAGGAGAGCCTCCCCCTTCCGCCAGAGTCTACCACACAGCCGCCCAAAAGCCAAGCTGTCTCTCACACTGTGACGAGCAAGCAAGTGCCAGTCCCTGGACTGCCCCCCCTCCCCTGCAAAGGAAGGGCCCGCGGTGAGGGGAGATCCCCGAGAAGGGTGGGGGTGGGGGTGGGAAGAGGGAGATCCCTGAGAAGGGTGGGGGGGTGGGGATGGGGGGGGAGGAAGACCCTCTCTGTGCAGTTGTCTCCATGGAGTGATGGAAGCCGTGGGAAGAAGAGGAAAGGGCCCTCAGCAGGGGCCTCCTGTGTGGGTCACCCCCCCCCATGTATCACTGCCTAATGGCCCAACTCTTGCTACAGGTATAATGACGATTGAATAAAGAAACACCACTTTTTGTAAAAAAAACACAAAAAACCCAAACCCACCACCCTGGGCTTGTGTGAGTGTCTCT